CCCACCGGCCGCTTCCCTCTTGCCGACTGGGCGGCTCGGCACACGGCACAACGCCGCGAGCAGCAGCGGCGCCCGCGGGTACAGCGCCGGCGGTGGCGGCAGCTGGGCCTCCGCGGAGCAGGGCTGCTGAGCATGCGCACGCCCCCCGCACCCCCACCCCGCGCGGGAGTGGAGCTGGGGCTTAAATTATCCTCCGCGAAAATCCCAGACCGCAGCTCAATCTCCCCACCCCGGCCGCCCCGCCGGAGTATGCAGCTGCTGCCCCTGCAGCTGGGGTAGTAAAAATGTTGACGACTAAAAAGCAGCAGGAAACCTTTCTTTCAAATTCGGTCTTTAAAAACGCGGGGTTTAAGCTCTCCCCCTTTAAGGAGGTACACACTCCCGGCTGCTGGCTGCAATATTATTGTTGTTGCTTTATTGATGGTCTTTGTTTTGGATTGATTTGGATTTGGTATTTGAAACAGAGCGACTTGACAACGGCTGTGTGGCAAGAGGATGACAGACTTTTAAATGTACTAGGAAAGGAGATAAACCTAAAGGGGGGAGGGGGGGAACAAATTCTTTCCCGAAATTGTCGGTGGGATTAAAGCGTGGCCATAGCAGGTAGCTGCTAGAATGGAATAAGCTACCGAAGGGGAACCGCTCCAGGGCTGGGTGTCTGCCGCGACCTGTGACACGTCGCCACCCCTGGATCCAGTCTGCACGCAAGGGTGGGTGTGGATGGGGGCGGGAGTGAGGGTGCAAGTCAACAACGCGCTGTCACTCATTTCAGAATCTTCAGTCGCCTTTAACACTGATTAATCCCCAGCAGCTTCTCTCCTCACTCTTGCAAGGGCAAGGAGGGAAAGATGAAGTTTTCGCTCAAATGTTTCTGCTGCTTCTCACACACAATCTCGCCTGGATGCTTGGAGACAAATGTCTGGTTCGAGTTTGAAAACGTAGAGAGAGATTCAAGCTGCAAGTACCCTCCCAGAGAGTGCGTTCAACAAGAAAGGTAGATGGGAAGCAGAGGTATTTGATTAGGAAGAATGTAGAAGCTCATAAAGACTAATTCTATTTCGTGGGGTAGGGGTTGGGAGGAAGGACACTCTTCCGGATACCTGACTTCCACGCCCCTAAGGGTCCAGCGAGGAGCAACAGCAGAGCTACTCGGTTTTTTGAACCCAATTCAGAAGTGCCCGCCCTCTTCTTTCTGATTGGTCAAATTCTGCACCGTTCAGGGAAATTCTCATCCCAGTATTGGTTGATGCGGCAGGCTTTCAACAGCAGTCAGCAAACCAACTACCACTCGGGCTCAGGGATTTCGGGAAATGTAGTTTTCTTTGGGGCTTCCGCATTCAAGGACGAAGTCTCACACTTGGGACCTATAAAAATTGTATTGTGGCTTAATATTTATTGAACTACTCAGTTAATTCACTGGGTGCAAAGAACAATAAAACAAACTTGATGATTTTTCTTAAACTACTTACAAGTGTTTCTGAATTTTTTATTTACTAATTTAGTGCTCTGAAACATTTTATTGTATAAGACCTTGTGCTAGGTACTGAAGGCGGCGCAGAAGAATCCTTGCTTTCAACCAGCTCACCACAGTCTAAAAGGGGGGAAACCTCACATAAATAAGTAATCATAAAACAATGTGATGAATTCATTGATGGAATCATGCACGAGGAGGAGTGAAGAGGGTAATTTAACCAGCCAGAGAAGTCCTGGAAATGGTGATATTTACCATAGTTGTGTCCAGATGAGTAGGAGTTGACCAGGTGAAGAGGAGGGAGAAGAGCAATGGGAGGCAGGTGGGGAGGTTATCAGAAGTAGCTTAGAGAGTATTTTTTAAAATGCTAATGCCTCCATAGGGGAAAATCTCAAAACAGAGAGATCACTTACTTCCCCCACAGATTTTTATGATCCACCTTATCACCTAAGTTGAAAATAAATCTGTTGGGAAATTTGTCATCATTGGATTATAAAACTCTTTGGAGAAGGGACAGCTTCTTGCTGAGAGGCCTTGTGGTGGTGTAGTGGAAAATTCCGGGGCTCTGTTGTCTGCCAGACATGAATTTCAATCCAGGCCTTGGTAATATGTGCAACCTTGGGCAAATCCCTTACTTTTCTGAAGGGCTAGGTTCCTCAAGTGTAAAATGAGATTAATACTACCTTCTTCCTAGACTCTAGGACCTAGAGTTTTGTGAAAATAAACTGGAAAACAGTTATAAAGTTAGCACTACATTGGTTAGCACTCCGTAGATACCTAAAAATGTCAGTTTTTCCATTCTAATATCAGGGTACATGAGGTGAAAGGAACTTGAAGAGATCTTCTTTAAGCCAGTTCTCCATTTTTGACTTTATAATTTTTGTTTTTATTTCCATACCTCATCAGATTATAAACTCATTCTGACATTCCCAAAACTTTGGTTCCTAGAGGACATATGGAATTTAAGATGAGTATGGAGAATGTCTGCCAATGTAAATTAGCTTTGTGAATTTGCAATCCATCCTCTCCAAGAGACCAGAATTCTATCAGGTATAAAAATAACAATGCCCCAACCCATGGATACAGACAATAGGGTGGTGAAGGCCTGGGGTTGAGGGTGGGGGTGGGGCTGGAGGGGGTCAATGGGGGGGAAAAGGGGAACATATGTAATACTTTCAATAATAATTATATTTTAAAAATTTAAAGAAAAACAAAACAAAAAACCAACAATGACCCAAAATATCTGCTTTTATGATAGCAAAGATAAAATAATGGACCCTCAAATTCATTACATTTCTTGTAAGTCAATTTCAATTGGCCACTGATTTTTAAACTAAGATAAAAAAATTTAAGAATTTAAATAACAATTAGAAATTTTAAGCTTATAGTGGAATTATTAAAAATTTAACAATTTATATTACTCATTTTAAAATTGAGCACAAAGCAGAGAATTTTAACCTATAATAACCTCTCAACAACGTTTTACCTTTTTTGTTTGTTTGTTCTGTTTAATGAATGAATCAATCTGTTGATTCCTAGCAACACAATAGCTTTCTGCCTTTGAGCATGTGGCATTCTCCCAAATATAATTTTTTCTTACCTGCTAATTGATGAATGGATCAGTAGATGATTATATAAAATATACACTGGCAAATTATAGATATCTATATTACATTCAGCTCTAAACATTACTCAGTTAATACAATGAAAATTAAAAAGCAAAAATAAAATAAAAGAATCAACATACAAATAGAAAGGCAGCTCATTAAATTATTTGACATTGGAAGGCCAAAATCCCAGGACAGAGAATTCATACATTTCTGAATCTGCCAATTCTCATTATCTCATTTAAAGGCTACCAGGCTTCCTAGGTATTTGGCTCAGTGGTTAGAATGCCATCCTGTGCACCGAAAAGTCACAGGTTCCATTCCTGGTCAGGGCATATACCTGGCTTGAGGGGTTTGATCCTCAGTCAGTGCTTGGGCATGAGGCAACAGATGGAAACCATGTTTCTCTCTCCCTCTCCCTCTCCCTCACCCTCTTCCCCTCCCTGTCTCTAGAATCAATGAAAACATATCCTTGAGTTAGAAATAAAGGCTACCAGTCAAACTAAGGCTCTATTATTGGTCTCAGGGGCAGCTGGATGCTGATTGAGAGGAGTAAAGTAGAAACTAAAAATACATATTTTAGTGAGAAATTATATTATTGGCCAAAATCTTTCTAGAAGGTAAATTATATTATTGGCAAAAAACTTTCTGAAAGGTAGACCAACTATCTCACTTACTAGCATTCATTTATATAGAATTAACTGTAGTTTATTGAGTCCCGAAGAATGTCTACATAAAAATAATTGATTCACTACACCTTTTAACAGCATATTTAATTTAAATTATTTGTAAATTGCAGCAGAGGTATTAATTAGTTTGCCTAGTTCAGGGTTGTTTTCTAAATGGGTATCCTAGGTCCTGCTGAAATGTTGGGGCCTGGGCAACCATATTTTTGAGCAGGTGACCATGTGTCCTTATCCAGACTGAATGGATCAGAGGCAGACACCTGAAGTAAGCCAAGGCAAGAGATCATATTCCTCTGGGGATATGGAATTGAATCATAAAGGTGTTAATTTGTCTGAACCAGGAGATTATATGGAGCTGGGGCTGAAGCAGAGAGCGCTCATATTTTGATGGGTCACAGGAGAATGGAATAGACTCAAATTACAAAGAAGAGACTCTAAGGAGATGAAGAGTAGAGTCTCTATTCCTAATCTCCAGTTCCTAGTTCTTATTCAGTCTACACTTTTTCTCCTTCTTTGTGTAAACAAGTTTGAATGGGTTCCTGATTCTTCCAATCAAATATTCTTATAAATTTAGTCACAGCCTGACCCAGAATGTAAAGAAATGTAGAGATTTTGTAGCCATCTTTCACTGACATA